AGATGTAATCATTGCAAATCACGTCCACGGACAAGCAGCCTGGCTGCCATGAGCTGAGCCACTGCTCTCTGGATGGCACAGGAGGATAACGTTAAATACCTGCCCGTGGTCTTTTGCATCTGACCCAGTTTACATGAAGTAACAAGCCGAATATGTCCCCACTCCCGCCCCATTCCTCTGCCTAAAGCCCCGGCCTGTGCATCAGGCATCTTCGGGAACACGGTGTCTTGCGAGGAATGAGGAGGGAACAGCCTGAGCCCTATGAGAGCATCCGTCTAACAGTTAACGTTACCCTCGCATAAAAAAGACGATAGTAGTGTTTTACGTGTTAAGAAACCAACTGTAGTCTTACCTCAGCTTCGTGTCCAGCTTCCTGAAGCAGCCATTACCAGTATTTCCCCTCTACCGTCCGAACCTCCGCCACACAGGTACCGGGGCGGACCGAAAAACCGGCAAAACGACCCCCTCCCCCCGAACCGCCACCCCTTCGGACTGGTTGCTACGATCGTCTCCCGAAAAAGACGAAACGCGCACGCTATCGTCTCGTCGTCGCTCTACGATCCCTCTTCAGCACATTTGTCTTTCTTTTTCACAGTCCCCCAAAAGCACAAATGAGCGCGGCAGGAGCGTCTTCAAACCCCCGGCGCGACCAACCGCCAGTCCGATGACAACCGTGACAACCGGCTCTCGGTGCTACGCGTTAGTCCGCCTTGATGTGGTGTCTCCCCTCAGACAAAAATCGCGTTCAGTCGGGTAGTAGCGGTGGTGGTGTGTGGCTCTCGGCGGCTAGCGCTCAGGCTAACCGCGATCACATCGCCCAGCAGCGGCTGTATAGTAGCGGGTCGCTCGCGGTGGTGTTGCAGCAGCAGAGAGGGGGTGGAGGGCTGAGAAGAAGAGTGATTAAATGAAAAAAAGAAAAAGAAAGAAAACCGGATGAACTAAAAACCGGGGTTTCTCCGTCGCACCGCCACAATTAGCGATGTGCATTCGCCAGGGACCCCCCCTCACTGCCCGTTAATCTCGGATCGGCTCCGCGGCTGCTCGTCGCTTAGCGAGGGTCTGCACGGTAAAGCGCGTCCCCGCTACAAAGCGCGCTCGCTTCAGTGTGTGCAGTGTTCACAAAATGGCCGCCTAAACAAACCCGGCGGCTGTTAGCGTGATCTGCCTCGGCATTTGCTTGTGTAGGGGAGGAAAACGATGCTTTTACGGGAACAATAATTTAGAAAACGAGCACTGGAGTGCCTTTTTGGCCCGTATCAAGCTACTAGAAAGTGATAGGTTGCTTGAAGCCAAGGCAAATGAACAATGGAGATGTGAAGCAGCTCACTAACAGCTAATCTGCGACCATACATGGTTGTGACTAAGGAAACTTTTTTATCTCAATTTAGCTCAACATTTATATCTCAGCACAACCGATTTGGGACAAGACAATAATTTGATGAAGTACTTGGGAAGTTTTTCCAAATGTTGTTTTCATAGGTTTCGTTATCAAGTTACATTTACCCCGCTAAAACAGTTTAAACAGGACGGTTTGCTGGTCAGTCCGAAGTTTAGAGCATTTTAAACTGGGCAGACCAGCTTGGTAAGGCTAGGAGACCTGGATAACACCAACGAACCAGTTTAAGCTATTATTATTATGATTATTTTCTCAGGAAAGTGCCCTTTCGTCCCATTAACTTGAATACTATTTTTACGGCTTTACAAACACACATCTTTGCTGCAAATGTCGGTTACAGGCTCCACGAGCTCATAACCGATTAAACAAACGAGCTTATTACACAACTACTTTGGTCATATTGAGTATATTGTATCTTTTTTTCTTGCATGAAACCCAAAACGTTTTTATTCTGTAGCGATTACTTTTTTGCGATAAACTTTTTTTTTATTTTATAAACGTTTTTATTAGTTATTTTATAGTGCTCAAATTCAAGTCATTAATGACATCAATGGGGTACTTCTTCAAGAAAGCTTTATCGAAGAAGGGTCGGGTCTTGCAGTGGATGTGAAACTGATTAAGTTACCCGAGGTCTTTATATACATCTGTTTCATCACCATTACATGAATTCCTCATTGTTTCAGCCCGAGGGTACCATTTAAAACAGTCTAGATATGTGTCATGTGCCAATGGGATAAAAAGACAAGGTCTCAGATGTGACCAACCCCCCCACGCAAGACATTCACACCAAACATATTTATAGGATTCTTTGTTCATAACCTTTTAGGCGCACTGTAGGCTTTAACATTCACACGTCTGCAGGATTTTTGTGGGGACGTTAAGACTCAAATAAAGTCTGTCATGAAATGGCCTTTATGTCTTCATGTGTGAGACCAACCGTTGTTAAAGACTAAACGCAAAAGTATGTTTTTAAACTGGACATAAATGAAACGGGTCGCCAACCAAGTCAACCTTGGTCGGTTACTAAAATTTAAACATGCAGGAAGTTCGTCATCAAATTCAAGGTGAAAGTTCACAGCGCCACCTTTACCTCTGCATTACATTCCGCTCCGACGCCATCTAGTGGTGTACAAAAACAGCACAGTGAGTTCAACAGCAGTGAAAACGAAAAACAACCTTTTTCAGGTCAAGTATACACTACTGTTCAAACATTTGGGATCAGTGACAATTTTAATTTTTAAGAAATTAATACTTATATTAAGCAAGGATGCGTTCAATTGATCAAAAGTAGCATTTAAAGGCATTTATAATGCTGTTCTTTTTAACGTTGTATTCATTAAATAATCCTGAAAAAAAAGATTGCCGTTTCAAACACAAAAATATTAAGCAGAAAAACTGTTTTCATCATTGAAAATAATAAAAAACGTTTCTTGAGGACCAAATCAGCATATCAGAATGATTTCCAAAGGATCATGTGAGACTGAAGACTGGAGTAATGATGCTGAAAAATCAGTTTTGCCATCATAGGAATAAATTACATAGAATAGAAAACGGTTATTTTAAATTGTAAGATTATTTCACAATATTGCTGTTTTACTGTATTTTTGATTTTAATAAATTCAGCCTTGGTGAGCATGAGACGTCTTTCAAAAACTAAAAAAAAAAAAAAATCTCACCAAACCTAAACTTTTGAACAGCACTGTAGAGACCCCCCCGTATGCATACTGTAGTAAATAGTAACGTTACATTTTAAGCCTGGGCACTAATAATAACATGCACATAGTACCATAATAATGTATTCACATAGTTATGGTGCTTACATTGCATTAATGTAGAATTTGTTAATTGTTAAAATCATTCAGGCATAAACCAGCTGAAGTGAGGTTGTTCATTGCAGAAGAGTAACTAGTTGAGGTTTTTACCAGAAAGCATAAAAAGCAACATTTTGTACTGCTTTACAAAAACATTTCATATTCAGTGACAATTCTTCGGTTGTGTTTTATTAGCCGTCACTGCATGCATGAATGAAAAAATTCAAACTTACATTAAAATGTACAGTTTAAAATTGCATTTATTAAATAAATTAGAATTTATTTTTCCTATGCAATACCATTCTTTGAAGAATCACCATGTGTCTTGTCCAGTTCCACACACCAGTTACCCTGATCATGGTAGCTCCTAAGCACTTCAACACCTGTCACACCACAACACATCTCCTCCAGCTCTCCCTGCTGGAAGACATGATAATAGCTGTGAAATACAGGCCCCTGACTCGTGTTGTCTAAGGGGCCGTTCGTGCTTCCACTCGCTGCTCCCTTGTTCTTCTCCGCATTACCTTTTAAGTGCCACGGCACCAGGAGATCTTGGGAAAGGAAAGCTGTGCGGTTAGTATGGATGTGGATTCTGGGTTGTGTCACATTCTGCTCCTCTATGCATTTCACATCTGTACTTATTTTCCTATCATGCTCCTCCTGTTGGTTGGACTTATTTTCTTCAGTTTTAAGCTCATCGCTTCTCTCCATACTAGTTCCAGTTGTTCTTTCTTTCAGATATTTTGATTTCTGGTTGTTGTATTCCTGCTCCATGGCCCAAACATAGATCAGAGCTCTTCCTCCCACCTTTAATAACCGGACCAGCTCTCTGACAGCAGCCTGTCTTCTCTCCTAAGAACACATGCAGTTTGTTCAGTATTATGTACAGACTACATTTTTTACGTACATTTATGTATTTGGAAGATGTTTTGATCCAAAGTGATTTATATTGGATTTAAGATACATTTAACATTAACCATGGAAATCGAAAATGCACAACTGTTTGAGAAAGAAGAATACAGGAATCACATTTTTTACATTTTTCATGGGGGGTCATGGGGAGGTAATAAGAAAGCCAGAGAGATACTATTATTCCTAAACACTAGGGCCCGTATTCTTAAAGCTTATAAGAATCTTCTCAGAGAGCTCCTAATTTAGCTTAAAAATTTAGCTTAAGTGTGATTCAGGACCAATCTGAGAGCAAGTCTGAGTGAGGAAAAGACAATCTTCATATAATGTATGTATACATATGTATGTGTATATTTATTTAAATTTACATTTATGCATTTAGCAGATGCTTTTATCCAAAGTGACTTACAGTGCATTCAGGCTATACATTTTTTTATTTTTTTTAAGCAGTATGTGTGTTCCCTGGGAATTGAACCTACGACCTTTTGCACTGCTGCTAACGCAATGCTCTACCACTGAGCCACAGGAACATTTATATATATTTATATGTAATTTATATATAGTGTGACTTGTTGTTATTTGTTCCCAAAGTCTTATTTTTGATGAAAGTTTTGTGCGATCTATCTTCGAATCCATTAAATCTCAACAATAATGATATTTTAGCATTAGAAACACTACTGTGACTAAAGAGCTTACATATACTGGTGTGGATTAACCATTACAGAAACATAAAAAATGATTTTGGTAATCACCAATACTGTTAGTTTAGGGCAGCTGGGGGTGATAGATAGATGGATGGATGGATGGATGGATGGATAGATGTTGTTGTGTCTCTAATAAGATGATGTCACAAACATGATCCCTACATGATCTAATCTAGTGTCTTATTAAGTCACTGTTCACCCTCTGCATCTTTTGGCTAGTTTCTCCTCTGCTATAGAATAAAGAAACTTGTAAGCCTCTTAGAAGTCTTCCTCCCTACTCCTAACACTTTTTGACCTCAACAGCTCTTTTAAGGATTAGGATGCTGAAAAAAACTTTTATTTTTTCTAGGGTCTTCTCTTTGATTTTAAGGGGAAATGCCCACTTTTCTAAAAATTTCTTAGAATTTCGTAACTAGGAGCAACTCTTTGCACTAAGAATTTTCATGAATACGGGCCCAATGCAGGCATCACAGCTGCCACTGCGCAGGGGGACAGAAAGAGCACCTGACACGAATGCCTCATAACCCCGCTCAATGCAGATCTGCACCAGATTAGCACTGCGGTCACAGCCCACCTACAACAGAGGTTACATCCGAGTTCTCCATTAGTTAGGAGTTAAAGTAATGTCGTTTCCTGGTAAAGTCTGCTGTGGCATATTACTTACAGACATCACTTCAGGGCTGATCCCCAGGTATTTGCCATTACCGCATCCGATGTCTGCCAGAGTACTACCAGGCGGCAGGGACAGTAGGAAATCTCGCACCCGGGGCCACGGTGAGTGTCGTGTGCTGCTGAAGTGAGAGGAAATCTCTTCATAGACCTGATGAACAAACTGCGCCTCCAAACGACAAGCATCGCCTTCAGCAACAGGCACAGTTGGTAGAGAAGGCGGCTGCTGGCTATCACATACAGATGGATAGGCTACAACAGGAAATAAAACGATTCTTGTCATGAATGTACATCCTTTTTAAATCTACAAAAAATGCACTGTTACATTCATATATGTGATTTATATGTATGTACTACCATTCAAAAGTTTGTGGTTGATATGACTTTTTTTTAAAACACTTATGCTCACCAAGGCTGCATTTATTTGATCAAAAATACAGTAAAAACAGTAATATTGTGAAATATGATTACAATTAATATTTTAATATATTTTAAAAAGTAATTTATTTATGCTGAATTTTCAGCATCCATTACTTTAGTCTTCAATGTCACGTGATCCTTCAGAAATCATTCTAATATGCTGATTTGTTGCTGAAGAAAAAATTCTTATTATCATCAATGTTGAAAACAGTTGTGCTGCTTACTATTTTTGTAGAAACTGTGATATATTTTTGCCAGGGTTCTTAAAAATTACAGCAATTATTTGAAATTGAATTTTTTTTTCTGACATTTAAAATGTTGTTACTGTCACTTTCGATCAGTTTGATGCGCCCTTGTTGAATAAAAGTACTAATTTAAAAAAAAATTCTTCCTTACTTAGAAACTTAGAAATGTACTTAAATGTACTTAGAAATGAAAAATATTCGCTTGTGTAAGCAAATACTTCACACACTCACCACATTTGCAGGGTGCATGTCTGATTTTGCGGAATGTCAGAGATGTCCTGGTACCACAGCGGCTCAGGGTCAGATTACTTAAGTCAGAGGTCATGACCCCTGACCCTCCAGCCTCCAACACTGGTACTACATCACATTTCCGAGGTGTTATGCTGACATGAAACATACACAAAACATGTTAATCTCCCTAGAACAAAGGATTTATGATATAATATAATATACTTTGTGCATATTGAATGATAATATTCATTAAATAATATTTATAATGATGAAACAAAATCAAGCATAAATCTAAAGAACATATAGATGTTTAGTGTTTGGTTGTCTGCATATATTTGGACATATATGTGACCCTGGACCACAAAACCAGTCATAAGGGTCAATTTTGTGAAATTGAGATTTATACATGATCTGAAAGCTGAATAAATAAGCTTTCCATTGATGTATGATTTGACAGGACAATATTTGGCCGAGATACAACTATTTGAATATCTGTATCTGAGGGTGCAAAAAAATCTAAATACTGAGAAAATCACCTTTAAAGTTGTCCAAATGAAGTTCTTAGCAATGCATATTACTAATCAAAAATTAAGTTTTAATATATTTATAGTAGGAAATTTACAAAATATCTTCATGGAACATGATCTTTCCTTAATATCCTAAAAATCAATATTGAAAAATCAATAATTTTGACCCATACAATGTATTTTTGGCTATTGCTACAAACATACCCCAGCGACTTCAGACTGGTTTTGTGGTCCAGGGTCACATATTGTATTTAGTGAATATGTACAAAAAAAAAAAAAGTCCTGTTTCTCACCCGTGAGTCCACTGATAACAGCCCTCTCCTTTCATCACCAGCAGACTTCGCTCTGGCAGCACCACCACAGCGACAGAACGTCCATCAGGATGTTTAAAGTCCATTACTGTCTATAGGAAAATAGCAAGATGATTATTTATCCATGTAAGAAAATCATGAGGTTCATTTTCCATCTCCATCTTTGTTTCGACAATTGAAAATCAGATAATCAATAATGTTGCTGTACCATAACCAATCAATAAGGCTACAAACAGGCCTGGTGTAACAGAACGCCCTGCCCCACTAATAATACTAATGTATGAAAAACGTAAACATATTCCCAAAAATAAACATATCCTTATAATCCATAATTACTGGCATTTCAGTGCTTCATTTATTCGTACCTTTGCTCCGAGACTCAAGGAAAGGATGGTGTCCTCAAATGCAGAGTGTGTGTCTGTATGAGGGGGAATCCCTGTAACAGACAATAACATTTAGTCCTATAAGCAGACATAAATCTCCCCTCAGCTGCACAAATACATGAGCCACTACCTTGTCCACTTTGGTATTGGTTTACAGTGAGCTGGTCTGGAAGGACACTTATGTGGCCATCAGCCAAACACCTTTGTAGCAGAGCATCACATTCCACCGGCAGGCCTGAAATGACAGGTGTCTATTCAATTTTAGATGAATTAGATTATAATACTTACCAAAAGACAGGACACAGAATCTCGTGGATTACAATTTGCAACTAGACGGATGTACGGTTACTTCCTCTACAGTCAAAAATCTGGGTGTTATATTAGATAGCAATTTGTCTTTTGAAAATATTCATATTTTCCACTAAAATATTAAGCAGCTCAACAGTCTTCAACACTGATAATACAAAAAAAAAAAGACAAAAATTCAGCCATTACAGGAATAAATTACATATTAAAACATTAAAATAGAAAACAGTTGTTTTACACGTTATTTTATTATGTTACTGTATTTAGATAATAATTGGGTATTAAGGACTTCTTTAAAAAGATTTTGAAACACATATACATACATATCATCATCACAAAAAAATGTGATGCAAAAAAAAAACAAAAAACAATTTTAATACTTACCACCTGGTAAGGGCTTGTCTTTATCTACGTTATTATTATCGTACCGAAACTCATACCCATAATGCTTCACTCTTCTGTGTTTTAAAGCTTTCTGCACTGCAATACAAAAATAAACATTATTATTATTACTACTACTAATAAATATCTTAATAGGTTTGCCTTCATAACTCTGCTATACATTAATTAAACAATGTGATGGATTTTTTTTTTTTTTTTGCTGATTTGCAATAATTCTAACTGAGGCTGTCAAGTATCTCTTACCCGTGACTTCATCAGTATGTGCCGTCCAATCAGCAGCCTGTAGCAGCTGCAGCTCCTCTGGACACACAAAATCCTCCAACACTGACAGACCAGGAGGCAAAGCACAGGATACACTCCCGTCACTGTCCACTGACAGTTAATCAAAGACAAGATCCATTAGAAACACTTCGTTTTAAGGCTCATTGAATATGATTATAAATATGAGTCAGTCAAGTGACACACCTTTCTCAACATAACTCAAATGAAGTGTCACACTTTGATCGTGACACTGCAGCGCTCGTCCATTGAGGAGTGTATATGTATTCTGGCCTGCCTCAGTTGAAGAATATGTTACAAATGCATATGGTTTCACTGGAGGGGTGAGGAGAGACTCAACAGTACCTCCCTCTTTAAGAACCTGCAGCAGCGACTCTCGGCTCACTCCATTCCCCAAACCTCCATTAGAGACCACCAGATGCTACATAACAGACATTCATGAACATACACATTACTGACTGCTTTTATGAGCCATTTATGCAAAGCAATGAACTGCATATTTCACCATTTGACAAACTTCATCAACACTCGTGTTACTGCATGAAATATGCAGAAACACACAACTTAGACTAATAACTTTTATCCATTATTAATTCACAATAATAACTGATGGTGTCTTGACCGTAGAGATGTATAAATATCTATGGTTTTGACTGGGAAAGCCACAAATCATTTATATCTTTCATAATTGTTTAGCATCAATTTAAGTGCATTAATTTAAAATAAAGTCTGTAGATTTAGCAGTAGCTTATACACTGTAAAAAAACGTATTCAGACACAAACATAATGAAACTAACAGCAGTACTACTGGGCTATTTAAACTCGACTGTGTAATTTGGTCGATTCATATTCTACTGACACTTCGTCAAAAGAAGCTTCGTAAGTACCTTTGTGGAATGTGACACTGTGCTTATGCCGTCGTGTTTCAATAATGTGTGACTGGCTTTAATCTGCCTTCGAAGCAGTTTTTTCTCCCCTTTAGTTCTTCTGATACTTGCTGCTCTCCATTGTGCAACCGCATATTTGATCCCCTCACGCAATATCTACATAATTGGTTCCTAGAAGCGTAGCATACTGTTGTTTTTCTGAAATGTAAGTTTTATTGCTTCCATTCTGCGGCCACGATTTCTACACATAATAAACACATATCTTTTAAAAATTACGTGACAGAAAATTAATGTTTTTACGTTGCAAGACGTGATACATAATTTGGGGATTTTGACCTTATAGTAATAACCACAGTGACGTTTCCAATTACTAAATGTTGACAGAGATTACAATGGCTACATCAAACCATATATACCACTTTCACAGGTCTTTTTAAATCTAAATGCAGCATTATCAGTGTGTGGACAATTATTTAAGGCCTTTGATCGACGGAGGTGCAGATATAGCTTGATTTTGCATTTGGGCAGAAACTGGCAACATTGATGTGCATTAGAATTAATCTTATATTCTGCTCGAGATTATGATGATCAACCTCCTATATAATTTCAACCTTAATTTTTAAGCAAACGAACTGAATAAACTTATTGAATTTGAATTTTTACAATGAACTGAACAAACTTATTGAATTTTTATGATCTTTTTTATGAAGATTTGTATGAATTTTTACGATCACAGAACTTCTGGACAATGAAGCATCTGAACCTTTAATTCAGATTACTAACAATTTCTCTAACAAAGACATGCCTCACACAGTGCCTTGTAAGAAAAAAAAAAGTTTAACGCATCATAAACTAGTTTGCTTGAGTATCTACTTGTTTCATAAGGGGGGTTTGGGCACTTGTGAGATGGCCAGGCTGAGAGAAAACCAGAAAAAAACAGCAAACAAGCTTAGACTAGCTGAACAAAAGCCTTTTTTAGAGTTGGTGATATGGGTTTATATTAATACTTCTGAAACAGCATCACAACAAGAAGCTTCTTGAAAACTGTGATTTAGAGGTACAAACAAAATCCAGATAGACTGGAAACAATGTGACATTGGATTAATTTTTTTTACTAAAAATATTCAAAAGAAACAATAACAAACGTATGCTTTGGAAAACTGTTGATTTAGTTAACATAACACATCTAGCTTCCAGTCATTTCTACAAGCAAAACACAAAATTAATCTCTCAGTACAGTATATTACAAGACAGAGGATGATCATACAAAGGAAAAAACAGGACTCGAGTTACTCTCCATAAAGAATATGCTGCCTGTGCCAATCAGGTACAAAGGGATACACTCCCAACCTGGTGGACACAGAAAATGGCTGTTACATCAGTCTTTTGTCTTCTGCAAAATGTGGGTCCATCTAGTGGCAGAAGCAGATATTTCAGGCGTAAAGGAGGATGTGACCAGTGACGAAAATTTCCACAGAGAAACCTCACTTCTTTTGCTTGGGAGGTGGTCTGCAAAAAAAAAAAAACATATTAGATTTTTTTAACAAACAATAAAAGAAACATTTCAGACCAAAACTATTCAGGCCTAAATACAAACCTGCACAAACCAGGGGCCACATTATGTGCAAACATGCTTTCTTATTAGGGCTGGGTAAAAAATATTGATTTCTCGATATTAATCATTCTCATTTTTATGGAATGATATCGATTCTTAAATCCCAAGAATCGATTAGTCTAGCCTGTTTTCAGTTAATGGACAGAACGTTGAAGGGCACTTCCCATCCAATATATCGCATTAAGCATTGTGTTTTGGTACTTTTAATATGAAACAAAGTCTCCGATTTCACATTCTGTCCATTGTATTGCAGTATTCAAACAATTAATGCCATTTTGGCGCTGTTTAATGTGGAGTGACAGATCGCTGTAGCTCCTCAGTTCAACAGACGCGGCAGCGTGAGGCGCACGTGAACTGATCATCTTCTCCACATTAATACCAGTTTCAGCACAAAATAAACATGCCTAAACATCTGAAGGTAAGTTAAAAGAAAGAGTACAACTTTACAATCCGTATCCCCAGGTTCAATCCTCAATCAGTGTTTCAGCCGCGCAAAGAGATCAATATAACGGCTTATAAACAATGCCACGTGACGTCACATTTACCTCAGAAAAGCATATTCAGTGACCATAAACTTATTAGTCAGATAGAAAAATAAACTGTAGAGAGGGGCATTTTGCTAAATATCATTGAATCAAATCGGGAATCGAATCTCAAGCTTGTGAATGAGAATCGAATTGAATAGTGAAATTTGTGTCAAAACCCAGCCCTATTTCTTATAGTAAGAAAGTTCCTGCATAGTTCTAAGTTTATGCATCAAGACTCACCTGTAGATTCCCACAACAACTGCGTGATCTCTCTCATATGGCTCCAGTGTCAGCTGCTCCTGAGGTTTCATGTTTTCAGCGCTCATCTTCTTAACCTCTGATGCAAACACTGCCTCTGGAGCAGCTGTTGAATCAATGCAGTTAGCCTGAGGAAGAAAAGACAAAGTTAACAAGTGAAGACTGATAAATACTTGCAGCAAAAACATGAGCAATGTCGACATTGCAGCATTATACTTATTTTACCTTGATGGAAATAACAAAATGTCCTCCATTCTTCAGGAAATTGTGTGCATTGAGGGCGACGATTCTTGTTTGGTCAGGTTGAGCAACATCAGCAAAGATAACATCCACCATACCTTAAAAAAACAGGGCAGTGTTTTATTAAACTACCTGATAATGTGCATTCGTTATCTTTCGAATGTTCACATCTAGGGTTGCAAAGGGGTGGAAAATTTGCGGGAAATTTCCAGAAACTTTCCAAAAAACCCTGGAATATTCCTAAAAATCCTGGAAAGTTTCCAAAATTTCTGGAATATTTCCGAAATTTACTGGAAATTTTCCACCTTTTTGCAACCCTATTCACATCACAGGAACTTACCAACAAGCATGCGGTATTTGTGCGGGTGCCGTGCATCTTCAATGATCGGAATAATGTTGGTTCTCTTTTTCGCCACATTCAGCAAGTCTCTGCCTGATCTGTGGGAGAACTCGACAGCGTACACCAACCCCTCCTATGAGGAGAAAATGAAAGAAAATCAGAAATGTTCAAACGATGCTTCCAGAAATTAAACTTAAATTAATATTAAAGGGGTCATGAACTGAGAAATCAAAATTCCCTTGATCTTTTGACATTTAAGAGGTCATTGTACTATAAAAACATCCTGTAAGTTTCAGAACTTTCTCGTTAGTCTAAAAAACACCTTACATTGAAGCCAATTTGCCAGAATGACAGGTTGTGGAATGTGCCACTTTATGATGTAATAGTGTGGCTAAACCCCACCTCCGCAGAAGATGATCAACACCTGCTTCTACATCACTGCCTGTTTAGCTGTTTTGCTATTAGAATAATTGTAAAGTGATTCTACTTTTTGAGCTCTAATGGGTTTAAACTTTTTTTCCTATGTAAAAATACCATCCCAGCTTTATATTTAGACACCTAAATTATTACAATACACAGTATTATGCAGAAAATACACACTTTAATGTTTCAATGTTTTATATTTGATGCTCTGTGCATCTTGGACTTTAACAATTGTAAAGAAAAAAGACACATACCGGTCCAACAATGTCAGAAACATGGGATACAGTAGTTCCTGATGCGGCTCCTAAGTACATGACCTTCGCTCCTGGCTTGATGTGGATCTGGTCAACACCACCTAAAATGGCTGCGGCCAGCTTCGACCGGAAAGGATTCCATGCTCTGTACTCAATTTTCGTTTCCCCTTCCTTGCATCAGAAAAAAAAAAACGAACATGTAATGAATGCAATGCTTTCTATAACTACTTGAGAATTAAAGACATTCTATAAGCTCACCTCAACACTTATTCTCTTCTCTCCATACACAGAATCTCCAACCACCATGTTCTTTGTGACCAGGGCGTCCTCTTTACCACGGCAGATAAAAACTCCTGGAATTTTAAATGGAACATGGTTATTTAACACATTCTCAGAAACAACAGCAACTCCAAAATGTTGTTGATTAGCCTATGTCTGCATTTGAGAATGTTGTGACGTTGATGACCCACCTTCATGTCTATGGGGCTCTACAGTCACCTTTATGCCCCCTCTGAACCCTCCTCGTCCTCCTCGGCCTCTAGGAGTACCACGACCGCCCCCTCGTCCACGGAATCCACCATCACCTCCAGGGGACCGGAATCCTCCAGCTTTATCAAACAAGAGACAAAGAAATCAACGGAATGGAAACACAATTCAAATTTCAATATTTCTGGCATACTGTGGGATTACAAATTTAAGAATCTGTTTAAAATATGCTGATCCTATGTTCTGACATAGCATCACATGAAAAACTAAGGTGAAGTACATTGTATTTAGCATTTAAGGTAAATTACATCAGACAAATGATTATCTTAAGCAAAGTGTAGCAAGAAAGAGTCTCCTGGTTTCTGCTTCGACGAGGAAAAAGTTTCCTACAATACTAAACTAGAAGAAAGGGTTTTATTAAAAGTACAGGAATACTGAAATATTGATATATTTAGTATTGATAAAAAATAATATAAGATTTTTATATATATATATATATATATATATACAGTGGGTACGGAAAGTATTCAGACCCCCTTC